GCTAGATTTCTTAGATCAAGAACCTAGAGGGGATATCCAGTACGTATATCCACATCAAGAGCTTCACAGCTTTAAGTACTGTACTGGTATGCTTTCTTCTAATAATTCTGTAGAGTACTTTGACCAACCAGATTATTCTGCACTCTTGGCAATAAAAAATCAGTGCAAGACATACATCCAAGGCTAAATTATCAAACAATAAAAATCTACTAGCATGAATAAAACACACAAATACTATCTTGCTAAGTTAAAATAACCACCAATACTTTAAAATCCCGTTAAATTATTAATACCAAAAGACTCTCTTAAATGTTCTTCAAGTTCCCTAAAGGCACCCCATTAATTATAAAAATAATGATGCAAGCAAAAAGGCTTAAGTCATGGGTAAACAGTTAAAATGTGTTGTGCATGCAGCAGCATGGCATAAGCTTCAAAGAGGGAAGCAGGAGCACCTGCAAATAGGTACATACATATGGACAAAATGTGTGTGCCTGATCCTCAATCAGTAGAGAGTCCTTTCAAAGAAATGATTCCCGTTGAATGAGGAAGGACAAACACCAACATCCTGCTGAACGCTATGTAACTTGCTTTTCATCTGGAGGCCTATCAGACCTGCCACTTCTCAGAGATATGTATATCTATGTATGTGGCCCATGACGTTGCTGTCAGGAAGAAGTCTGCTACAGAGCAAGCTCATTATAGCAGACTTCACCTTGACATCTACCAGCTTATTTCCCAAGAAACCAACATGGCCCAGGCACTCACAGAACCACATATCTTGTGTTGTGCCCAGAGATGGGCTAACCACTCATGGGTCTTTTGAACCACAGGGTGGATGGAGGCATATTAGGCCAGGTCAAACAGAGCACATTAGGAATCTAAGTAGATGGTAAACCAAGAACCAACTAAGCCAGCTATTAGCAAGAGAGCAGCAAGGATTACATTGAACTCCGCAATGAACACAGAGGGCTTGTCTAATACCAGTGGACAATACAATAAAACTTATGGCCTCTCTAGTTAGCACCATTTTCTAAATAATATCTCATGAACCCCCATGAGGTTTTGAGCAGTGTAAACCTTGAACAACTGGTAGGTCATCTGACAAACTAGCTGAAAAATGTTGTCTAGTATGTCCAAATACCTACACCATGTGCTGTTCTGTATTTCCTTTTGTCTCTTATAAGGTGAAATACTGAAGACATTTGTATATATTATAAGTTGTAAAAAAAAAAAAAGTATTTTTCAACATACTGTGCAGTAATACAATATTAGGCTTTTTATATAAACCATAAAGATGGTCTGCTATAACTATGTTTTGAAATTTTGTTTCCTTTTGGAACCCACAGTCTTGAAAATGTGGCTTCATAGAGAACCCTCCCCAGTAGTTAGGTTTCATTCATGGGGGGTGCTTAAAACATTTTTTATTGAACACAGAACAAAGAAACAGCACAATTCACCTTGAAATAAGCATAATGCTCTCACAGCACAATCTCCAATACATAAAAAAAAAAACATACCACAGGCAGGAATTGAATTTGTGGTGAGAGTTTTACAGCTCACTCGCCATGAGTTCAATCCCCTCCATTGGTACAGTTTGTTTGCAATCGTGTCATTACGATTTCATGAGTCAAGATCTCCAATACATATCTGTATATGATATTTACCACTAATTTGATAGTATTACCTAAGTCAGTGGTACAGTGTTCAACTCATTTCGGTATGAATTTTTTGAGTAAGGCGAGATATATAGGCAAATCTCCTTACACTTGCTGCCCATGTTAGCTTAGCCACAAATAGTGGAGGATATCTAGAAGTTAGTCCAGTAAAGTGGGTCACATCCTAGGCAAAAGGGCCTGAACAGAAAAAGACCACACTGCTTGACTTTCTCAGGTTATCCCTTGTTATTAACTCTTTCCTCCCAGATTAAATACAGATTTCTTAGTTACCATTCGGGTCTTGTGATCTTTTTTTTACCATGTTAGCAGCAATGATGGACCAATAAACTGACACCACAGTCCCTATTTCTGGATTTTTTTTGCTTTTCGCATACTGTACTATTTCCAAATGCACTCCTTAGGTAAATTTTAAAAGTTATACATATAATATTAGGTTGCACTTCTATAACAAATATGCTGTGAATATTTCTATGATATAATTATTACAATCAAATTTATTCACTACTACTTTTAATGTCATAATCACAAAGGATTTCAATATAATTTTAATACTTTGGCATCTAAAAATAGAGAGAGATAATTTCTTCATCTTTCAAAATAATTCAATCAACAGCCATTTAGGGTCCCTTGTACATTTAGCACAGGTCATGAAACCAAGTTTAAATACAGTGGTACGTTGACTTACGAGTGCCTGTACTTACGAGTTTTCTGAGTTACGAGCCGTTGCTCGGTTGATTTTTGCTTTGAGTTGTGAGCCAAAATCCGAATTATGAGTGAGCTTCAGATACCTCGATAATAACCGATGTGTAACATCCTTTCAATTTTAATACCAGTGGTAATGTCATCCTGCCAGAATGTTCTATAACGTATGCCCTAAGTAAAGAGAAACAATTCTGGAATGTGTGTAATACATGTGTGTGTGTGTCTGTCTCTGTCTATCTCTGTCTCTGTCTATTTCTGTCTGTCTCTGTCTATCTCTGTCTCTATCTCACAGGTACACATAAATACAGTTATACATAGTGTAAATTACCTACGATAACCCCCAAAAAATCCAGACACAGTGCTATACCATGCTTGTATGTATAAGGCATAATAAGTATAACTGGCAAGTAATACACATTTTTACTTGTTCAGGAATCAGATGTGATGACTGCATTGTGTGTAATACCTGGTAGTTCATGAGCGGCTCTCTCTCTCTGAGAGAGAGACAAGTAGAGAGACAGGAAGACAGAAACACAGACAGACAGAAAGACAAATAAGCAGAGACAGAGATAAACAGAGCTAGACAGAGACAGACAAATAGACAGATAGAACAAACAGATGGACAGATAGACAGAAACAGATAGACATGTTTATGTGTATCAGTGAAAAATCAAGCCAAGGCAGTGCACAATCATCATATGTCACTCCACTGCTGCACTGTTAGCAGTGGAATGACATTCATGTTACACCGTGCTTCAAGGACCTCCACATATACTCCAGCATTTCTAAACACTGCTGGGACTTGGCAAAAAAGGCAAAAGTCATTTCTTATTTATAAATACATTTTTTTATTTAAAAACCCATAACAAAAAAAATGGGGTGTTTTTTTTGGGAGCTGGAATGGATTAATGGCATTTCAATTAATTTCAATGAGGAAAATTGATTTGATATACGAGCAAATTGAGTTACGAGCTTGATCACAGAATGAATTAAACTCATAAGTCAAGATACCACTGTACTGAACTACCAGTGTGCATAATAGCAATACATAGCATTAGAACATAAAAAGCTTGCAGGGTGAATCACACAAACTGCCTTTAAAATGTTGTCCATAACTGTGCAATAATAAAAAAAAAAATTGCATAAATAATACTGTATACAAGAGTTAAATTATCTGGGTGATATTACCTCATTTTTGGCGTGCGATGGGGAGGGTGGTTGCCGTATGGCTGAGCACACCACAGTGTCTCCTCGCTCAACACCATCAGCCACTATGTTCTCAGCAGTTGTCCAGCCAGCCATCTCAGCTGCTTCTTCCTCCCTCTCTGCTTTCTCCTACATAAATACAGCAATACAATACAGTATAGAGTAATCAACAGATGAATATAAAATGACACATTAATTTACAAATTGCTAAAAGATACTAAAAGTACTGAAAGATACAAGTATTATTAAGATGCCTCTGGCAAGACAACGGAGTGAATGATGGTGAAAGCGTTTCTTTCTTGGGTTACCCTAATTTGGTGGGAGATGCCCAGTGTGTTAAAAAAATATATGCAATATTTTTAACATGTGCCATTACCCACCCAGGCAGGGTGACCCACAGAAGGAAAATATACAATAACAAGGTAAAATTAGTGGGATGCAATGCTTCCAACATCTTAATTTCTATCTTAGCAGATTAATTTCTTTGGTTAATTCACAAATATAAGACTATGGTATTGTATTTTCTTCATAAACAGTAGATCAATGGAATGGTTTACAAGAGGAGGTAGCAAATATAGTCGAACCCCTGTATCCACTGATTCGGTATCAGCAATTTCAGTCATCCACAGTTTACTGTGGCTCCAAAATACCTCTTAATTTTGCACAATAATGGCACCAGAGCACAAAAATAGAGAAACTGGCAGTTCTTCAAAGCCTAAGAGAAGCTGTGAAGTGCTTCCCATCAGTGAAAAAGTGATAGCTCTCTACTTTTTGTGCATAATTTATCAAACTTTATAATAGGCATGTATAGGACTTATATACATGTATAGGGTTTGCTACCATCCACGGTTTCGGTATCCATGGCAGGTCCTTAGAACATATTCCCTGTGGATATGGAGGTCCTACTGTATTATACAATTAATGGAAGTTTTAAAAAAGCTTTCCTCAATTGGAAATGTAAGAAAAGTATCTGGGAAAATACTGTAAACAATATAAATAAAAAATCCATAAAAAATAAATAGAGTAAGGTGTAAAGAGGGGAAATGTTACCACAATATTGGAGTTAATCACTACTTTTAGAAACCTTATGATATTACTGCTTTATGATAAAACTGTCATAAACACTGATCAATAAACAGGTAAATCCCACAAGATAGGAAAATAAAACACTTAAACAGAAAGTCTCTATGTATTTCAGCCTCGATCAAGAGAGCCTTGTCAGGTAAATCTGCTAAAGGAACTCTCTCACTGAGGTTGGAATATACAGATCTTTTCTACTCTGTATCATAATAACTGTCCATGTGGTATTTACCTATTACCATACCTCACATTAATAACAATTCCTCAGCAGTACAAGTGTTGGATTTTTTTTTTTTTCAACAAGTCGGCTGTCTCCCACCGATATTTTTCATAAAACAAAATTAACTAATGTCCATGGTCATTTACTTCATATGCATTTTTCTTCTATTTCTTCAGAATTTCTTTAGGACTTAAAAGTACTGTATGGTAACTTCTACAGAAGCATTCTACTATTATTATTATACAACAGTAGTCCAGCAACAATTATAAAAGAAAAATTTTTGACCAAAAATATAATTGTAATAAAAGACATCACTTATAAATTATAAGTAACAATTATTTTTGAGACTGCACAGCATACTATTACAATTATTTTTCAATGACAATTGCAACATAAAAAATGCAATTTTCTCTCCTGGACTAATTTACATACAAGGCGAGAGAGCAAATTTTAAGGATAACCGCAAAATAAAATTTACAAACAATACAACACTTCGTCAGACAAATCAAACTCATTAAGAGTATAAAATGATCCCACTTACCTCCTCTTCACATCGCTTATACTCATCGATCTCATACTGATACTTTGGTGATGTAATACCCAGGAAGTGTGCCAAGCCTTCACCCACATAATCACATGCTGATAATGTTTTACTTCCTGTGTAATACATCCAGTAATACATCCATGGGCCCCAACTCAAACTTTTCTGCAAGAGGAAAAATCTATTTATGAAGTTCATGACATAAAAAATTCAGAAATGTATCTTGCTTAACCCTTAAACTGTCCAAACAGATCTACGTTCACATGCATAGTGCTCCAAAAGTAGATCTACGTTTTTTACATATTTTCAAATATAACAAAAAAAAAAGTAGATCAAAGTTTTTTTTACACATTTTCAAATGTAAAAAAACAAAAAGAAGATTTATGTTTTTTTACATACTTTCAAATGTTGAAAAAACATAGATCTACGTTTGGACAGTTTAAGGGTTAATAATTGGTCATAACTTTAACAGGCATTTTTAAGATCTTACCAGTTATATTTGCAAGTTTTAAAATTTACATAAATAACACAATAAATATTCAAGATATAATTTATTCATAATAAAAACAAATAACACAACTGCTTACACTCAAACCCATTTTAAAAGTTTTATTGCCTGAATTAGAAAAAAAATGGCCAATCAAAAGTGACCCAGCATAATGTACACTTCACATATTCTTCTTTGTGACAGTAGTAATTTCTATTTCTGCCTTGCAAGGTGTTTAAAAAATTATTTTTCATAATACTAATCTCCTCAATGATGCTGAAAACATACCTCACTATTCGTAATATAAAGTGAAAATGTTAACTTACTGGATCAACCAATGCTAGAGTATCTGGCTTGTTATCAGTCTCGTCCTCATCGTCTGTGCTGTACTCCTCCATAGTGCCATCAGAGAAGTGAAGGACCCTTCTAGGCACTTTGACTTTCGTTTTTTTACCTTCCTCACCTTGGAAGGAAACTTCGTTCATGACCTTGGCAGGCTATGAATAAAACAAAATGAAACAATATGAGATTGAATTAAGATTTTATGGTACTGTCCTCAAATCTTCTCAAACAACTAATGCCAATATAAAAAAAAGACCATGAAACCACCAGCAAAGGGTTTCCATACCTACAATAATTATTGTAAATATGATAAGTTAATATTTTAGTCTCAGCTGACAGCAACCTCAGCTCACATACTGAGGGATCTGAGATTACTCCCTGGAATGGATAAAATGTTGGGCATGTTTCCTTACTCCTGCTGCCCCTAATCACCTAGAAGTGAGCAAGGTGTTAGTCACCTGTTGTGGGTTGCATCCTGGGACGAGAATTAAAGGACCCCCAATGAAAATGAGAAAACAGTCCCTGATGACCCACTGTCTATTGTTATTCAGGGCTACTAAGCCTCCAAATTAATAATCTGAACAAAACCTTCTTTGTACAAAACTATGGACTTTTCTGGGTTATAACTGATGGATACTCCTGGGCAGAAATCAACATTATTTTTTAATACATACAAGGAATCTCCACTACAGAATAAACAGTTATTTCTTGGGCTATAATTACCAACTACTCAATGGAACTTGGTTATTATTTCCCCTCATTTCATTACATACAACCCTATGTATATATATACCTATGATGAGTTTCAAGAGTCTTACTCCTCTCGGAGCCTGGCCATGGACCAGGCTCATCTGGTGCTAGCTGGTATACATAGTAGAATAGGTACGCATTTTTTGTGCAATTTCTATTTGGGGAGATATTAACGAAAATCAGCTATTTTAGATTAAGATACATACAGTAAAGAATAGGTAAGGTTATGTAATTTAAGTTGAAAGTGCTGTACATAGGTTGTATGTACCAAAATTTGCAAAACAATAACCAAGATCCACCGAGTAGTTGTTGGTCACCATTATCATTTCTTGGGTAAATTGTTAATTTGGGAGATATTAATTAAAATAATGCATTTTTTTTGGTAGGGGCAAAACATCAATCACCCCTTAGTGTTGTTGCCTGGCCAAGCACTGCTGATATACCTTTGAAGAGTTCGGGAATTTCACTACTCCCGGAGCCCGGCCATGGGCCAGGCTCGTATATAACTGAAAACTGATGGAAGAATAACACTAGTGTTATTTTACGTTAAGTGACCATATGATGACCCTGTGGTGACTCAGTGGTTACCCTGTGGTGACTCAGTGGTGACTCAGTGGTGACCCTGTGGTGACCCAGTGGTGACTCAGTGGTGACCCAGTGGTGACCCTGTGGTGACCCAGTGGTGACTCAGTGGTGACCCTGTAGTGACTCAGTGACCCAGTGGTGACCCTGTGGTGTCTCAGTGGTGACCCTGTGGTGACCCAGTGGTGACTCAGTGGTGACTCAGTGGTGACCCTGTGGTGACTCAGTGGTGACCCTGTGGTGACCCAGTGGCGACCCTGTAGTGACTCAGTGACCCAGTGGTGTCCCTGTGGTGACTCAGTGGTGACCCAGTAATGACCCAGTGGTAACTGTGGTGACCCAGTGGTGACCCAGTAATAACCCAGTGATGTCCCTATGGTGACCCAGTGGTGACCTTGTGGTGACCCAGTGGTAGTTAAGCGAGTTTCATCAGATATAATTAATTATCTTACATATACACAACATAATACTATATCTAACATAAAACTCACTCAATATTATACAATTTAAACAATATTTTGTGGCTGAAATCAACAGAGAAAAAAACATTCAATATATTAATTATCCTTCCACGTAAAGTTCACAAACTTATAACACACTCTGGGGGGTAAATCATATTACAATTTAATATTGCTAAAGTGTTAATAAGATTATTATATCCACCATAAATATTACTTACATATTCCTGCTTCAATGAGACATTATTAAGGTCTGTCATCTGCAGCTCCACCTCACCCATGGCTGACTTATTTCTGTCTTTTTTGCGGCTATAGCGACAATTCCTTTTTAATTCCCAACATCAACGGGTTAAACACACTCATTGGCTTCCCATTACAGCAATACCTATATTAAATACCAGTTTAAAGTCCGGTTTTAAGAGGGATTTTATGGACAACTTTTAACAGACGTCAAAATTCCCTTTAACTTTGTTGTGATGGCTGGACTGCCAGAAACTTCCATATTTAATTCTATTTATATTAATAAAAACTATACACATAGAATAATTAACATTATTCCATATTGTACATAATTAACATAGGCATATAAACATAGCAGTTTGTTGATTACAGACATATATTTTGGATTTTATAACAAAATAAGACAAAGCAATGTGGTGCTTGAGGCTGCCTTCAAATATGTGACATTTTAATGTTTTTTTTTCTTTACACCAAGTATGTTGATTTAACATATATTATACAGGATACTTGTACATGTATTGTTACAAGGTAGCACTAGTATTATGGTACAACTATGTTTCTCAGTGTATGTACAAGTGTATCTCTCACTACAGTATATACAAGTGTACCAGTGTACAGTATATACAAGTGTACCAGTGTACTGTATATACAAGTGTACCAGTGTACAGTATACACAAGTGTACCAGTGTACAGTATACACAAGTGTACCAGTGTACAGTATACACAAGTGTACCAGTGTACAGTATATACAAGTGTACCAGTGTACAGTATACACAAGTGTACCAGTGTACAGTATACACAAGTGTACCAGTGTACAGTATACACAAGTGTACCAGTGTACAGTATACACAAGTGTACCAGTGTACAGTATACACAAGTGTACCAGTGTACAGTATATACCTGGACCTGGAGTTTACCTGGAGAGAGTTTCGGGGGTCAACGCCCCCGCGGCCCGGTCTGTGACCAGGCCTCCTGGTGGATCAGCGCCTGATCAACCAGGCTGTTGCTGCTGGCTGCACGCAAACCAACGTACGAGCCACAGCCCGGCTGATCAGGAACTGACTTTAGTTGCTTGTCCAGTTGCCAGCTTGAAGACTGCCAGGGGTCTGTTGGTAATCCCCCTTATGTGTGCTGGGAGCAGTTGAACAGTCTCGGCCCCTGACACTTATTGTATGGTCTCTTAACGTGCTAGTGACACCCCTGCTTTTCATTGGGGGGATGGTGCATCGTCTGCCAAGTCTTTTGCTTTCGTAGTGAGTGATTTTCGTGTGCAAGTTTGGTACTAGTCCCTCTAGGATTTTCCAGGTGTATATAATCATGTATCTCTCCCTCCTGCGTTCCAGGGAATACAGGTTTAGAAACCTCAAGCGCTCCAGTAATTGAGGTGTTTTATCTCCGTTATGCGCGCCGTGAAAGTTCTCTGTACATTTTCTAGGTCGGCAATTTCACCTGCCTTGAAAGGTGCTGTTAGAGTGCAGCAATATTCCAGCCTAGATAGAACAAGTGACCTGAAGAGTGTCATCATGGGCTTGGCCTCCCTAGTTTTGAAGGTTCTCATTATCCATCCTGTCATTTTTCTAGCAGATGCGATTGATACAATGTTATGGTCCTTGAAGGTGAGATCCTCCGACATAATCACTCCTAGGTCTTTGACGTTGGTGTTTCGCTCTATTTTGTGGCCAGAATTTGTTTTGTACTCTGATGAAGATTAATTTCCTCATGTTTACCATATCTGAGTAATTGAAATTTCTCATCGTTGAACTTCATATGTTTTCTGCAGCCCACTGAAAGATTTGGTTGATGTCCGCCTGGAGCCTTTCAGTGTCTGCAATGGAAGACACTGTCATGCAGATTCGGGTGTCATCTGCAAAGGAAGACACGGTGCTGTGGCTGACATCCTTGTCTATGTCGGATATGAGGATGAGGAACAAGATGGGAGCTAGTACTGTGCCTTGTGGGACAGAGCTTTTCACCGTAGCTGCCTCGGACTTTACTCTGTTGACGACTACTCTCTGTGTTCTGTTAGTGAGGAAATTATAGATCCATCGACCGACTTTTCCTGTTATTCCTTTAGCGCGCATTTTGTGCGCTATTACGCCATGGTCACACTTGTCGAAGGCTTTTGCAAAGTCTGTATATATTACATCTGCATTCTTTTTGTCTTCTAGTGCATTTAGGACCTTGTCGTAGTGATCCAGTAGTTGAGACAGACAGGAGCGACCTGTTCTAAACCCATGTTGCCCTGGGTTGTGTAACTGATGGGTTTCTAGATGGGTGGTGATCTTGCTTCTTAGGACCCTTTCAAAGATTTTTATGATATGGGATGTTAGTGCTATTGGTCTGTAGTTCTTTGCTGTTGCTTTACTGCCCCTTTGTGGAGTGGGGCTATGTCTGTTGTTTTTAGTAACTGAGGGACGACCCCCGTGTCCATGCTCCCTCTCCATAGGATGGAAAAGGCTCGTGATAGGGGCTTCTTGCAGTTCTTGATGAACACAGAGTTCCATGAGTCTGGCCCTGGGGCAGAGTGCATGGGCATGTCATTTATCGCCTGTTCGAAGTCATTTGGCGTCAGGATAACATCGGATAGGCTTGTGTTAGTCAAATTTTGTGGCTCTCTCATAAAAAATTCATTTTGGTCTTCGACTCTCAGTCTGGTTAGCGGCTTGCTAAAAACTGAGTCATATTGGGACTTGAGTAGCTCACTCATTTCCTTGCTGTCATCTGTGTAGGACCCATCTTGTTTAAGTAGGGGCCCAGTGTACAGTATACGCAAGTGTACCAGTGTACAGTATATACAAGTGTACCAGTGTACAGTATACGCAAGTGTACCAGTGTACTGTATATACAAGTGTACCAGTGTACAGTATACACAAGTGTACCAGTGTACAGTATACGCAAGTGTACCAGTGTACTGTATATACAAGTGTACCAGTGTACAGTATACACAAGTGTACCAGTGTACAGTATACACAAGTGTACCAGTGTACAGTATACACAAGTGTACCAGTGTACAGTATATACAAGTGTACCAGTGTACAGTATACGCAAGTGTACCAGTGTACAGTATATACAAGTGTTACCAGTGTACAGTATATACAAGTGTACCAGTGTACAGTATACGCAAGTGTACCAGTGTACAGTATATACAAGTGTACCAGTGTACAGTATACGCAAGTGTACCAGTGTACAGTATATACAAGTGTACCAGTGTACAGTACACGCAAGTGTACCAGTGTACTGTATATACAAGTGTACCAGTGTACAGTATACACAAGTGTACCAGTGTACAGTATACACAAGTGTACCAGTGTACAGTATACACAAGTGTACCAGTGTACAGTATATACAAGTGTACCAGTGTACAGTATACGCAAGTGTACCAGTGTACAGTATATACAAGTGTACCAGTGTACAGTATATACAAGTGTACCAGTGTACAGTATACGCAAGTGTACCAGTGTACAGTATATACAAGTGTACCAGTGTACAGTATACGCAAGTGTACCAGTGTACTGTATATACAAGTGTACCAGTGTACAGTATACACAAGTGTACCAGTGTACAGTATATACAAGTGTACCAGTGTACAGTATACGCAAGTGTACCAGTGTACAGTATATACAAGTGTACCAGTGTACTGTATATACAGTTGTACCAGTGTACAGTATATACAAGTGTACCAGTGTACAGTATATATACAAGTGTACCAGTGTACTGTATATACAAGTGTACCAGTGTACAGTATATACAAGTGTACCAGTGTACTGTATATACAAGTGTACCAGTGTACAGTATACACAAGTGTACCAGTGTACAGTATACACAAGTGTACCAGTGTACAGTATACACAAGTGTACCAGTGTACTGTATATACAAGTGTACCAGTGTACAGTATATACAAGTGTACCAGTGTACAGTATACACAAGTGTACCAGTGTACTGTATATACAAGTGTACCAGTGTACAGTATATACAAGTGTACCAGTGTACAGTATACACAAGTGTACCAGTGTACAGTATACACAAGTGTACCAGTGTACTGTATATACAAGTGCATCTCTCAGTGTACAGTATATATGTCTCTCAGTGTATATACAAATTTCTCAATGTGCATACAAGTTTTTTTGACAATAGTCTTGACAACAGACATGTTATGGACACAAAAAAAAACATTATTTATGTTCATCACAAAATAACGCAATGAAAGAAAGTCACTTAATTTTTGAGTTTATCTTAGATAATTTACATTACATATAACTATACTTATGTGTACCTGTACCTAAATAAACTCACTTTGCCTGACTTTTTGGGGGAGTTATTCTGGGTAATTTACACATGTTAGTATGTATGATAATTTATATAATTGTAGTTATGTGTACCTGTACCTAAATAAACTTAATACAGTTAATGTGACTTATTTCCACTTATATCAATTCTAACTTAAGTATCAACATATAAAACGTTATTTGGGGTTAAATGGTTATAATTTATGCATGTCGAGTTACAGGTGACTAAATAAAGTGAGGTGTGAGCGAAGTATAGTGAAAAAAAGAGTATGAGTGAGGTCTGGCTGAGGTTGAGCTACACATCGCCATTACTGTAGTGAGGGTGAGGCTGTGTCTACCCTCCACCTGTATTATTACCTCCTGTCAGTACCTCGCCTCCATGACACTCATACCTCCACTCACCTCCACCTCACACCATCACCTGGAAGGTATATTAAGTGTCAGTACAGCAGCGGGGGGGAGTATAACAGGGTATATATATCCTGGGATGTGAGTGAGGTGTTGTGGGGTGATGGTAGAGACATTTTGAGTTATTATCACTCATTACTAACTATAAACTAACTACAGTCACCAAGGTTCACTCATTTTATTGCTTATAACTGGTAAATTACTGTCACCACTTGTTAACAATAGCCAGTCTTTGTGCCAGGAGAGATGTTGTGTGCAAGGTCTAAGACATTTCTTAAAGATATTGATTTTAGACTAATTTGATGCCACAAAGGATATTGTCAAGACGAGCTGAGTTATCCATGTTAATGTCTTGTATAGAAGAGCAAGTGAATTATCCTTAATGGAGATAAAATGACTTTTTTGGGGGTTTATCCTTGGTAATTTATACTATATGGTAATTGTCTTATATATACTTGTACCTAAATATACTTGTTTACTGAATCACTATGATTTTTTTTGTGGTAAATTACCCAATTTAGACCATGATAATTGTACTATTGTGTACCTGTGCCTCAATAAATTTATTTAGGTTGGGACGTCGTAAGTTAAATTTTAATACTCGATCGTAATAATGACGTACAGTAACATTTGGTACAAAGTATATATGCTTTACTGTACTCTTGCTGGCTCCTGTTAGGCAGGTCCTTGTGTTGTATGATGTGTTGTATGGTAGGTCCTTGTGTTGTATGATGTGTTGTATGGTAGGTCCTTGTGTTGTATGATGTGTTGTATGGTAGGTCCTTGTGTTGTATGATGTGTTGTATGGTAGGTCCTTGTGTTGTATGATGTGTTGTATGGTAGGTCCTTGTGTTGTATGATGTGTTGTATGGTAGGTCCTTGTGTTGTATGATGTGTTGTATGGTAGGTCCTTATGTTGTATGATGTGTTGTATGGTAGGTCCTGGTGTTGTATGATGTGTTGTATGGTAGGTCCTGGTGTTGTATGATGTGTTGTATGGTAGGTCCTGGTGTTGTATGATGTGTTGTATGGTAGGTCCTTGTGTTGTATGATGTGTTGTATGGTAGGTTCCTTTGTTGTATGATAGTTGTTTGTATGATGTAGGAGTCCTGTGTTGTATGATGTGTTGTATGGTAGGTCCTGTGTTGTATGATGTGTTGTATGGTAGGTCCTTGTGTTGTATGGATTGTGTTGTATGGTAGTGTCCTGGTGTTGTATGATGTTTGTTGTATGGTAGGTTCTTGGTGTTTGTATGATGTGTTGTATGGTAGGTCTTGTGTTATGTAGTCTTGTGTTGTGATGTGTATGGTGGTTTATGGTGTAGGTCCTTGTGTTGTATGATGTGTTGTATGGTAGGTTCTTGTTTGTATGTGTTGTAGGTGGTTATGGGTTGTGTTGATGTGTTGTATGGTAGGTTCCTTGTGTTGTATGTGTGTTGTATGGTAGGTCCTTTGGTTAGTTTGTATGAGGTCTTGTGTTGTATGGTTAGGTCCTTGTGTTGTTATGTGATGGTAGAGGTCCTTGTGTTTGTATGATGTGTTGTATGGTAGGTTCCTTGTTTGTGTGTTGTATGTAGGTTATGTGTTGTATGGTAGGTCCTTGTGTTGTATGATGTGTTGTATGGTAGGTCCTTGTGTTGTTGATGTGTTGTATGGTAGGTCCTTGTGTTTTGTTGATGAGTGGTTTGTATGGTAGGTCTTGTGTGTGTATGATGTGTTGTATGGTAGGTCCTTGTGTTGTATATGTGTATGGAGGTCCTGTTTGTAGATTGTATGAGTGTGTTGTATGGTAGGTTCCTTGTGTTGTATGTATGAGGTCCTTGTGTTGTATGTGTGTTGTATGGTAGGTCTTGTGTTGTATGTGTTGTTTGTATGGTAGGTTCTTGTGTTGTGTTGAGTGTGTTGTATGGTAGGTTCCTTGTGTTTTGGGTGGTTGATGTGTTGTATGGTAGGTCCTTTTGTGTGTTGTATGATGTGTTTGTATGGTAGGTCCTTGTGTTGTAGTGATGTGTTTGTTATTGGTAGGTCCTTGTGTTGTATTTTGTGTTGTATGGTAGGTCCTTGTGTTGTAGGTAGGTCTTGTGTTGTTATTGTTGTAGGTCCTTGTGTTTAGTATGATGTGTTGTATGGTAGGTCTTGTTGTATGATGTTGTATGGTAGGTCCTTGTGTTGTATGGGTTTTATGGTAGGTCCTTGTGTTGTATGAGTGTTGTATGGTAGGTCCTTGTGTTGTATGGAGGTTTGTGATGTAGGTCCTATGTGTTGTATGGTAGGTCCTTGTGTTGTATTGTGTTGTATGATGGTTGTATGGTAGGTCCTTGTGTTGTATGATGTTTGTATGGTAGGTCCTGTGTTGTATATGTATTTGTAGGTGGTCCTTGTGTTGTACGGTAGGTCCTGTGTGTATGATATGGTAGGTCCTTGTGTTGTATGTTGTGTTGTAGGTAGGTCCTGTGTGTATGTGTTGTATGGTAGGTCCTTGTGTTGTAGGTAGGTCCTTGTGATTGTATGGTAGGTCCTTGTGTGTGTATTTATGGTAGGTCCTTGTGTTGTATGGTAGGTCCTTGTGTTACACGGTAAGTTCCTGTGTTGTATGAGTAGGTCCTTGTTTAGTACGGTAGGTCCTTGTGTATGTTGATTTGTACTGGTAGGTCCTTGTGTTGTACGTAGGTCCTTGTGTGTACGTAGTCTTGTTGCTATGGTAGTCCTTGTGTTGTATAAGTGGTTCCTTGTGTTGTATGATGTATGTAGTCTATTTTATCGTCAGGTCCTTGTGTTATATCGTAGGAGTCCTTGTGTTGTATGGTAGGTTCCTTGTGTGATATGTTATGTAGGTCCTTGTTTACAGGTTTGTACGGTAGTCCTTGTGTTATACGGTAGGTCCTTGTGTTGTACGGTAGGTCCTTGTGTTGTACGGTAGGTCCTTGTGTTGTACGGTAGGTCCTTGTGTTGTACGGTAGGTCCTTGTGTTGTACGGTAGGTCCTTGTGTTGTATGGCAGGTCCTTGTGTTTACGTAGGCTTGTACGTAGGTCCTTGGGTACGATTTGTTTACGGTAGGTCCTTGTGTTTACTAGTCTGTGTTTACGTGTCCTTGTGTTGATGGCTAGGTCTTGTGTTGTATGGTAGGTCCTTGTGTTGCATGGCAGGTCTTGTATTGTCTGGCAGGTCCTAGTGTTGCATGGTATTGTCTGGCAGGTCCTAGTGTTGGGTGGCAGGTCCTGTGTTACACCATTCTCATTCTTGCACATTTTCATTCTTGCACTTGCCCAGTGTATTATAAAAAGTTCCTCTTGCTCACTTCATTGTTAGTAGATATGTTGCCAAACCAGTGCTTTTTCTATATCCTTTTAAATCTAAATTTATTCAGTGAAGCCATTGCTGTGCATTCTATCTTGGTTAGATATTTTTAGTACCCTGTTTGTATACCCTTTTTCTGTTTTTATTTTCCATATATGCACTTCAATCATGGTCCACTAATTCTATTTCTTTCCAGATAATGTAACTTCAGTGCTTTTAGTCTATCTTTGTAGAAAAGATCTTAGGTACAGGATTACCTGTTGTCATCATACTCTTTGTTTTCTAGTAAAATAAGAATATTATCAGGGAAGTGGTAAATCTGTAGGTGTCATATAGCTCCAGGGAAATAAGGGGGTAATTAGGGTTGATCAAAGGAAGGAGAGGGCAGGTCCAATTCTTCAGATTGAGAGCCCCCTCACCAGCAATGTATTCAGTCTGTAATATAGACAAACTGAGCTGCATATCTAAATGAAGCCTTACAAATGATGTATATACTGTAGCTGTGTAATAACTCATCTTGGAAAGTCTTGCCTACCTTCAATATAAATTAATGATTTATCACATAAGTCTTCCCATTACACTTACCCCCTGCTATCAGCTCCTCTGTCATGGTGGTGTGTAACCCACAAGGGTTTGGCACATATGTGAATATTATACCACAGATTTCATTTGCATACATTAGATATTATACAGGAATTAACATGGATTAGTATCACTGAATGCAAGAACATGTTCCATTGAATTTTGTTTCTTTGTGGTCGGGATGCTCACCATCTGTGACAAAAATAATCCTGTATGTGAATGATACACAGTACTGACAAGATGAAAATAAGACACAATTGCAACATCTGGGTATCTTTAATGTAGACATCTCGCCATCCAGTGGCTTTATCAGTACAAATTCTACGACATAATTTGAAGACAGAACTACATATATGCAAAAGATGAGATAATCAGTCCTTCAGCCTTGGAGGTGTTGTGAAGAGTACCATAGTCATGACTTTACACCAATGATGTGAAGTCATAAAAGATGACTCCAGTTTGATGCTCGTGATGGGGTTTTCATCCTATAAATTGAAGTTACCTTCCCAGTCTCCAGTCACTGTATAATCCTTATAGGTTTGGCACTTAATCATGAATATAAAAATTTACATTTATGAAGGATGCATAAATATTAAAAGCAGTATTTTTTATATTTATAATAATTGCACATTTCAGATATCTTGGTTGATGTTCCGATTCAAGAGGTGCTTTTTAAATGATATGGTGCTGTGGAGCAAGTAGTATATGGTGATTTATGTCAAAGCTGCTTCTGTATATGGGATCCAGGTATAGTACTATATATTTATCACAGTCTAATATTTTTTTACTTGCATTTTGTATATAGGAGGGCCCTGCTTATATAGCAGGTAAGGTTCCAGGCTACTGCTGTAAATCAAAAATCACTGGAAAGCGAATCATAGCTATTTTTCTCATTCAACTCGTATTCAATTCAATTCAATTCAATTCAGTTCTATTAATTCAAGTTTATTCTCTATAAGGGTTACAATGTGGGGTTTACAGGTTTTGGGTATTGTGTGGTTTACATGTTATAAAATACTAATTACAGAGGGGGCCACTAGGACACCTAGCATGGCTAGGCATTTCGGGCAGACTTAGATTAATTCTTAACATTAAATCCTTACAGATTATGGTATTAAGGCTAAGTGACTACATCATTATTTGTGAGTTTAACAATGTGAATGCTTTTGTTTTGGCACAATACAAAGTGTCTATATTGGAGTATCATAGGCAAACTTATGACTAGTTAGGATTTATTATTTTAAGATTAAGATTAGTATTTCTGGGTTTATAGTCAGTGGGTGAGTGAGTGTAATTGTGAACCACCAGGTGGTTATCATGTAGTTAGTCGTAATAGTGTTGGTAGAATTACCGACAATATGTAAAGTAAAAGGACACGAGTGCAACTAATGTGACATTTTATTGTGGCAACGTTTCGCTCTCCAGGAGCTTTGTCAAGCCGACAAAGCTTGACAAAGCTCCTGGAGAGCGAAACGTTGCCACAATAAAATGTCACATTAGTTGCATTTGTGTCCTTTTACTTTACATGTAGTTAGTTGTCGGGGTGTATCAGGGAGATAAGATGTTTTCTAACTGTAGTTTTGAAAGTGATGAATGTGTCCGCAGTTCTAGAGTTTTCAGGTAGGGTGTTCCAGATTTTAGGTCCTTTGCAATACATTGAATTTTTGTAAAGGTTTAGTCGAACACGGGGAATGTCATACAGATGTTTGTGTCTGGTGTTATGCCTGTGGATCCTGTCACAACTATCAAGAAAGTGTTTTAGGTCAAGGTTAATATTGGAATTTAAGGTTCTGATAACATATTTACACCATAATATATGAGCTAGGTCTAAAAAATGCATCTACAGTACACAGATTACTTAAAATATTTTAATTTTTAGCTTATGGTGAGTGGCGAGTATATTTATTGTAGGAAGTCTGAATAAATGATGAATGGGTATAATTAAAACTTCTGTATTTAGCAAAACCCTGTAAATTGAAGTGCCGTAAAGCAGGGCCCTCCTGTATACAGTACAGTATTGTATCAAAGCTTCAGTGATAATCTTAGCAGATTTATACCTCTTGTATATAATAAACTTTAATTGTTAATTTCATTAGATTTATACATCTGGTATATAATAAAGCTTTGTATATGATCTTCACAATAAAAAAGAACTAAATATGTAATTAATTCTTAATTTTTAATCTGAAATTTTTGTTTGCTCATCCAATTCATTATACAGTATATGTATATTCATTTGGTCAAAAAAAAGTGTGCAGATTTGAAGTAAAAAAAATATGCAGTTTTAAGGTAAAAAGAGTTCGTGCAAAAAACTGTTCTGGGTATGTGTATATGTTGAATAGTTTGTACATTTTTTTACCCCAAAGCTGCATTTTTTGGGGGGGCCCCAGATAGCTATACCTTTACTTTTTTTGAATGAGTGTTATATCGTGCTTTGTAAGCCGAGCATTTGCCATTCTGGCTTATTCAACAGTGGTCATTTTACTAAACAAGTCAAGTGTACCTATATTGATTTTTGCTACAACTGAAAATTATTTAGGTAACAAAATTAATATATTTCACTGGTATTAAATAATGCTAAATTTAAGCTGACTATAGATTGGATAGGATGAAGCTTTAATACTATATATACTTAAGGTTAGCAAGATTAGGTACATGGTATACAGGCTTAGCTGACATCAGTGACATACTACTGTATAGAAAGCCGCCTGTTATACTGAGCATTTGGGCAAATTAGGTCAGTTTAGTCCCAGGATGCGACCCACACCAGCCGACTAACACCCAGGTACCCATTTTAAACTGATGGGTGGACAGGGACAGCAGGTGTCTTATGGAAACACGTCTCTAATGTTTTCCAGCCATACCAGAGGAGATTCGAACCCCGGCCTTCAGTGTGTGAGCTGAGTGCGCTACCGATCAAGCTACGGGACCCCTTGAATACTTTTGACATGAAATAAAGTTTTAGAAAAATCTGTTTTTTATTACAGCTGAGATTACTTGACTTATTAGACAAGACCTTTATAGTGTTGACAGTTTGATTCTAATAAATAGGAGTGCTGTATGAAATGTCTCAGGAAGCCAGTTTTTTCAACATTGTTTTAGCTACAGGTACAGTAATTTGCAATGTCAAAGTTCAGAAAATTCCTAAATGTTAGAGAATAGACAGTTCATTTGTTTGTTTTCATTGTCTTGAATAATGGTAAAAATCAATTTTCTTTTTATGACTATTTTTCAGTATCATTGATTTATGATATTTATGTTCCACTTCTTAATAGTGAGATAAAATTTTTATTTATTTTTTATTTTATTAACACACCGGCTGTTTCCCACCAAGATAGGGTGGCCCAAAAAAGAGAAACTTTCACCATCATTCATTCCGTCACTGTCTTGCCAGAGGCGCACTTACACTACAGCTGTAAAACTGCAACATTTACACCCCTCTTTGATAGTGCAGGCACTGTACTTCCCATCCCCAGGACTCGAGTCTGGCCTGCCGGTTTCCCTGAATCTCTTCATAAATATTACTCTGCTCACATTCCAACAGCACCTCAAGTCCTAAAAACCATTTGTCTCCATTCGCTCCTATCTAACACTCTCACACATGCTTGCTGGAAGTCCAAGACCCTCGCACACAAAACCTTTACCCCCTCCCTCCAATCTTTCCTACGCCGACCTTTACCCCGCCTTCCCTCCACTATAGATTTATACTCTCGAAGTCGTTCTGTTTCGTTTCATTCTCTCTACATGTCTGAACCACCTCAACAATCCCTCCTCAGCCTTCTGGTTAATAGTTTTGATAATCCTGCATCTCCTAATTTCCAAATACAAATTCTCTGCATTATATTCACACCACATTTGCCCTCTGACAAACATCTCCACTGCCTCCAGCCTTCTCCTTATTGCAACATTCACCACCCATGCTTCACACACACATAAGAGCGTTGGTATAACTATACTCTCATACATTCCCCTCTTTTGCTTCCATGGACAAAGTTCTTTTTCTTCACGGACTTGTCAGTGCACCACTCGCCTTTTTCCCTTCGTCAGTTGTATGAGTCACCTCGTATTTCATAGACCCATCTGTGACACGTCCACTCCTAAATATCTGAATACATTCACCTCCATACTCTCTCCCTCCAGTCTGATATCCAATCTTTCGTTACCTAAGTTTTTATTATCCTCATCACCTTACTCTTTCCTATGTTCATTTTTTATTTTCTTCTTTTACATACCCTACCAAACTCATCCACCAATCTCTGCAATTTCTCTTCAGAATCTCCCAAAAGCAGTGTCATCAGCAAAGAGCAACTGTGACAACTCCCACTTTGTGTTAGATTCTTTATCTTTTAACTCCACACCTCTTGCTAACACCCGAGCATTCACTTCTCTTACTTACAGCCCCATCTATAAATATATTGAACAGCCATGGTAACATCACACATCCTTGTCTAAGGCCTACTTTTACTGGGAAATAATCTCCCTCTCTCCTACATACTCTAACCTGAGCCTCGCTGTCCTCGTAAAAGCTTTTCACTGCTTTCAGTAATCTATCTCCTTTTTCATACATTTGCAACATCTGCCACATTGCCCCCCTATCCACCCTGTCATATGCCTTTTCCAATTCCATAAATGCCACAAAAACCTTTACCCTCGTCTAAATACTGTTCACCTATGTTTCACTGTAAACACTTGATCTATGCACCCCGTACCCTTCCTAAAGCCTCCTTGTTCATCTGCTATCCTACTCTCCATCTTACCTGTGAAAATTTTTTTAGGGGTTACCTGTATGTACCTCAACATTACATGCATACAATAATCTCATTGGGAGACAACAACCATATTGCTTACCGTAGTCACCCCGTGTAGACATGTGAGAAAACTTAGCCACCCCTGGTCACTGCAGGTGGTTCCTCCGACCTCGCAAGCTTACCCATATCTATCCAAGACCAGTATGAATTGGATAGCACCCACAAGTACGGCGCTACTAATTAATTGTGGACTGTATAGATTATATTAGTTTAACTGGATGAAGGGGGGTAGGGGGTAGGTTACACATGGATATATCCATCAAGGAAAAACGCATATATAATACCACCACTTACCAGATATTCTCTGGTGGTCACTTGATGTAGCTGGATCACCCACAACCTATCCAATTACAACATACCCAACTGGCCAGTATCAGTCTGTTATAACTAGAAGGGTTACTTAACTGTAGGTGATTGATGCTCCTTATTTCCTCCATTCACCATCTTATTTCAATGTCTTGCTACACCGACACGGTTCTTATTCCAGCAGGACGAGGTATCCGTTGGTTTGTCCCGGTTTAGAAGTCGTGACTCCATAAAAACTTTACTATTCTCGGGACAGGAACCACGAGGTACTCACGTGTTCACTCGGAGCAAGGCGACTTATTTCACTTCACACATTCTCTTAACTTAGTGTTATTATCACTGATTACATTACAATTCACAAGACGATTTAATGTCTCATCATTATTATGTACATTAGAGGTCACTCCATTAAGATCTGAGACCGATGAGTGATGATTAAATCACGGGTGTTCTCCCCTGGACACACTCCATGGCGTCGCACCAGTCGCCACCGGTCCTACCATTATTCACTAATTTTACCACTTTATTACGGTGGTCCCGTAAATCACGTTCCCTCACTCTTCACCAGGAACAGTTAAGACACTTCCTATTATGAAGTGATGCCTATATTAATCCTTAGGCCGCCGTGAATGCCAATTTCCTGGTCCCATGCTTTCCCAGCCTCTTAACTTCATTCAAAACACTCCCGCTAGTCATGCCCCATCTCAACCTCACCCTCCGCGCAGACGCAGAGGGAACCCTGTTGGTTCTATTCCATTTTCAAATACATTTTTGACTCGTGTCAACACATTAAACACCTATTAGGCACTATAGCTTCGGAAGATTAAAATATTTTCCACATTACTTTTAATTCTTTCAGTAATAACTCTACCATACACTTTACCAGGTATACTCAACAGACTTATTTCCCTATAATTTTTGCACTCTTTTGTCCTCTTTGCATTTATACAAAAGGACTATGCTTGCTCTCTGCCAGTCTCTCGGTACCTTACCCTCTTCCATACATTCATTAAATAAAAGCACCAACCACTCCAGAACTATATCCCCACTTGCTTTTAACGTTTCTGTCTTGATCCCATCAGTCCCAGCTGCCTTACCCCCTTTCATTTTACCCACTGCCTCATGAACTTCCCCCACACTCACAACTCGCTCCTCCTCATTCCTAGATGTTATTCCCCTTGCCCTATACACAAAATCACAGCTTGCCTATTTTCATCAACAGTTAAGAATTCATCAAAATATTCCCTCCATCTCCCCAATACCTCTAGCTCTCCATACAGTGTTTATTCAGTGTTGATTTTGTATGTTGGAGTTACTACTATGTATTTAAATAATTTTTGGCTATGGAATTGTATACGTACATGTTTGTTCAGTGTTTAAAACTGATTAGTTATAAAGATGCTGTCTTCTCTAATTTCTCATTAGTTTAATTTTTTCTTCCTTTGCAGGCATGTTGTCTTAGAAGATCATAATGCAAGTCTCAGTGTGATGAGATACCTTACGATGGTACATCAGAAGTTTCCAAAGGTGCATTTTAGTGTTAAATTTTCTTTATCTATTTTCTGTTATTGATTGTTTCTGCTAATTTGTGTTATGCCTGCCATCATCAGCACCTCCACAAGCCATGAAGGCTGTGGGTGGAAGGGAGTGTCAGTGTTAGGGGTCTGGTGAAAAACAATGGAGTTTCATTTAGGCAAGAAGCTTCAAGGTATGGATGATCAACTTCCTCTGTACTTTTGGACCAAGCAGGCCCAACAGTTTCAGGCTCAGCAGTTGCAGGCCCAACAAATACAAGCACAGCAACTGCAGGGTGAGCAGGTGCAACAGGTCCAACAAGTTCAACAAGTTCAGGTCCAGCAGATACAGCATGTCCACCCAGAACCAACTGATGGCAAATATACTTGTTTGGAATGTGGCAAGACATTCTCCAAACGAAGCAGTTTCGAATACCACAAGAAGACTCATACGGGTGAGAAACCTTTTCGGTGTGGAGTGTGTGGAAAAGCTTTCGCAAATAATCGTAATCTTGTAGTACACACTCGAATTCATACAGGTGAAAGGCCATACGAGTGCCAAGAATGTGGAAAGGCCTTCACACAGAGAAGTATGCTTACCGTCCATCTCAGAATTCATACTGGAGAGAGACCATATTTGTGCAGTGAGTGTGGGAAATCTTTTTACCAAAGTGATCATCTCACAAAGCATCGCAGGATTCACACTGGTGAGAAACCCTATTCATGTGATGAATGTGGAAAAGCCTTTTCTGATAGTAGTGCTTTGAGGCAGCATATAAAGAGACATCAAGAGGTAGGCCCATTTAATTGTGAGTATTGTGAGGAAGTATTTGATAAGAAAGTGTCATTTGATCTACATATGATGGAACACAAGGGCATTAAACCAGAAGAATGTGATGTGTGTGGTAAGCAGTTTCCATCTAAAGGACTACTTACAAATCACAGGAGGACTCACTTTAAAGAAAAAGCTTTTAAATGTGAACTTTGTGATGAGGAATTTATGAGGTTAGTGACTCTTAAAAAGCATGTGAAGTATGCACACGGCCATGGTACGTCAGGTAGAGTTCCACCAATATATGATGATAGACCAATTAGAAAACCCTATGGGGAGTCTAAGCCATTTAAATGTGATGAGTGTGATATGACTTTTACCACAAATGGCAAGTTTCTTGCTCATCAACAAACACATCGTCCAAATAAACAGTACAAGTGTGATGATTGCGGCATGTGTTTTGCAAAAAGCTATACTCTTGAAGTTCATAGACAATGCATACTGGTATATCACCTGTTATTCAACCTGCATCTTTAACAGCTGTAACAACTATTGCTTCTGTTATGCCTGTTTTAACAATACCTGCTAATGTGAATGTTCCTCAAACATCCAGCAAGATTACAGCCTATGTAAAAGTTCCACAGCGGCCATTAGCTGTCAAACGTGAATCTCGCTATGATGATCCCTTGGCTGTGGCCACTGCAGCTGCTCAGGTGACGCCAGACCTCGTAGAGAGCCTTACCATTCCAGAGCAGCATCAGCCATATAATTACCACTATTCTGTGCAAGGAAAAACAATGTATGCTACAAAGTTTCGCAAGTAATTTGACTTTGTCACTATTGTAGTGACTTGGTTAGGAATAATGTTAACCACTATGCACAAAGTTGACAGTAAACACTTACCTGAAACACTGATGCATTATATTGTGACATGTGCACCATTGTGACAGTTCTTTTGTATTGTTAGAATTAAGGAGAAAACCAGTGATTTTGAAACAACATTGCCAAATTTCAGTAGTTATAATAGTTGCTCGAGCTCAGTAGTTTAATATTTGATTTAATCCTCAAATTTTGTCATCTATATGTTCATTTTCTAACATCTAATTTAAAAATATGTATTAATGTGTGTTCAGGATAACTAATCAGTTTACTGGTAATTATTAAACTTAGTTTCTGTATAATACAGTACTGTACATATACATTTATTACCCATGCTGTAAAATGCTCCAGGATCTTTTATATTTTTAAAATAGAGTAAATGTGGATAGCAGCCCTTCAGAAGAGAAAGTAATAGTGATATTCTATGGATTAATATGATGAAATAGTATTTCTATAATTAAAACAATAGTGTATTTTATCTCTTCTGCATTGTTTGATAAATCAGAGCCTATATACAGATATGCAAATACGTACATACTATCTATTACCGTTGACACTCCTGTGAAGAAGTAGACAGCCATAACCTTAAGATTTACATTTGAATTAATATACAAGTTAAAAACACAAGAGATACATTTTAGAAACTATTAACAGTTCATATCTTTGTTACCCACATGCAAGAATAAACATTTTTTAGTTTGTGTGTGTGTGTGTGTGTGTGTGTGTGTGTGTGTGTGTGTGTGTGTGTGTGTGTGTGTGTGTGTGTGTGTGTGTGTGTACAGTATCTAGTCTTTCCACTGATACTGGTAATACTTGACCACTGGCTTATACGTTGAACCACTGGTATACTACCTTGCCTAGCTTTGTATGTACAGCTATAGTTATTCTCTATAAAATGTATTTTTTTTTTTAATATTTCCCATAAGAAATGTAAATCCAATTAATCCATTCCAGACGCCCAAAAATATTAACCAAAAAATACATTTTATAGAGAATAACTATAGTTTTACATTCAAACTAGGGCATATGAAAACCAGGGTTCCACTGTAATACCAAGTTTGCTTTTACATTTGCACTTACATGTTAGATTGTACAGATGTTAACCTGGATCATATTTATATTATACAATACATGAGAAATTTCATCTAAGAACCTTGTCTTTATTCAGCTGTCATTATCAAGAGTATTTACATGATTTCGGGTGAAAATTTGCTTACAGGTTAAGGTTTAACAGCTCTTAGATTTCCATCATAATTGCCAGATTTTAATACAAGTAGTGCAGTACAAATCTAGGATGTTTTAGATAGTTGGTTAGTGTGTGGGTGTACTAATTTCCTGATTCACAAAATCATAACATGATTGCAAGCAAACTGAATGGGTGGGGTTTGTACTCATGGCGAGTGACTTGTAAAACTCCAGGCCAGTGCACAAGCCACTTGGCTGAGTGGCTTACACATTGGCCTGGAGTTTTAAGACTTGCTCACCATGGGTTCAAACCTCACCTGTTCCATGATTTATTTCTAATTTCCTGGGACACTGCTGTGAGGCAGGTATTATGTTTCAGGTGATCAGTCTCAAAGTTCTGTATTTTCAAGTCTTTCCTCACTTTATTTTAGCATCCTGTTTTTCTGGGCGAGTTCTCCATGCCTTGACAGTAGGAAATGGGTTGATGGTGCTGGTGATGAGTTGAAAAGGGGTTATACTCATGATTGTTTTTTATAAATTATTTATCACTTGGCATTGCTATCATATTTCTTGTAAATTCAAACAAAATTTGAAGTATTACCACCATGTAAATTTGAAGCTACACTTTTATTCTGGATATATGTGGGGAACTTTATTGGAGTAATTTGGATGTGAATATCATTAGCACCTCCCACTTCTGATATAAGCATCTTAATGCATTGTTTCAATATCTGGTAATCTTTCAAGGACAGTACATTCAAATATTGGAGAGCTTGAGAAAGTATGATATTCTGTAGGTATCTCGATATGTTGGGCATTTTAAATTTTGATGATAAATGGTCCCTCATACTTGGTATAGTATATATTTTCTGTACAGCAGCTTGATGGATTTCTTGTCTGCAGAGAGTAAGTACTGTACTTTGAGGGAAAATTTCATACCCTGTTACTTAAATCCTTGAAACCTGTATAAAGTTACGTAAGTAAATCTTTGTATTGATGAAAAGACGGGTAGAAAGCCAGCTTTTATTGTGACATTTAATTCTTTGTAGAGCTTTATCATGTCAGTGGCTTGATAAAGCTGTACATGACGTACTCTGTGCCACTCTTCTTCAATACTGTTGATTGTATGCCTCTATATCCATGTGAAGGCATGCTGTACAAAATGTATACAATATGTATAATCGTAAAAGCTGCATTTTTTCAGAGGCTGTACGAGTAAAACTATAAATAATATGCATGGTGAAAGGTTATAGGGTACTGCTCAGAGTGCAACTTACTTTTGCTAACCAACAGGAATATGTAAACTGAGATATTTTAACCAATCATAAAGTATGGTGCTACTTGATTATGCCTTGAGTGAGGCACATTTACACATTTAGTAATGTTAAGTAATGTGCATCAGTCAAGGAAGATGATGCTAATTTAAAGTAACTTGTTTCTTGTTATAATTCAGTCAAATTTTATGATAGGCCTCATGAGGGTACATCTGAGCTATATTATTTTGTTTATCTTGTGTCAAGTTATATATACGTTAGTTACATGATACCATGGTTAGTTTTTTTTTTTTTTTTTTTTTTTTTTTTTTGCTTGTTTGGCTGTGTTTAATGTTTTTATATTAAATAACTGGTGAATAGGGATCATGAAAGGCAAGTGAAACTTATACTAAATTTTGTAATTAGTAAACAAAATTCTGTGTTCATGATGTGCATTTTTTGTAGCAAAATAATGCTAATGTGAATAAAAATTTTATGTACACTCTGAAATGATTAACCTTTTTTTTTAGATATAATATACTTCTTGACGAGTTGTGGAAAAGTTAAATTTTCAGCCAAAAGTATGACCATCACCTTGCTTTTCATGACTTCCTATTAAAGGTGGCTGATGCAAGGGGCCTAAAAAAATCTTCATCAGTCTAGTATTCTTTATTGCATTTGATTTTTCTGGCTAGTAGTAAAATCTTGGACAACCTCCATACCAAGTAAGATTACTTTAGAGAATACTTAGGCAGTGATGAAAAAAGGACTTCAAAAAGATTCAGATTCATTTATCATACTGTGCAGGAGATGGAGAAGATTAATCTTTAAAAACCATTCTTAAAACAACTTTCATCCATTTATTGGGTAAAAACTCCTTATGGCATATAGGTTAAGCATAGTTGTAGTTTCAATGCAGACAAATTTGTAGTTTGTGCATGAACAGAATGGCTAGGTATTTCCTCTTCCAGGAGGTATTTTGATGGCAGCAAAGGGCTCTTTATCAAAGGAATTGGAGCTATTCTCCCCTTTTTTGGATTAAACCTGCTGTATAGTCCTTGTGGCTTAGCGCTTCTTTTTTGATTATAATAATAATAATTGGATTAAACCTGATTATCTCTCGTTCCTCAAGTGCTCAGTGACCCCTCCAGGTTTAGCACTTTTCCTGGGATAATATAATCAGTAGTCTAGTAATGGCTTGCCAGTTCTATGATCGGCTGTTTGATCGTTTGTTCTGGAATTGATTTTTCATCTTTCATTGGCAGATAATCTTGTATATTAGTAGTTGAATGATTTAGCAACAATACTTGGAACATTTACTAATGAATTCAAATAGGAATGGGTGAATAGGCATAAAATAAGAAAGTAGTATAAGGTGAAAAGGCTATAAAGATCAGTAAAATAGAAGCTTAAACTTTGGAAGAAAATTGATGCTTTCTAAAAGTATGTGGCTAAAAAGTTTGTAAATTGAGAGAGGAAGTAAACAAAAACTTTGCTAATAGATGGGATTTATAGATGGAAGTAGTAGTAATGGATGATCCTCCCATGGGTTTAGTGCTTTCCATATATGCATTGTAATGATGGAAGACGCTTCAGAGGCTTTCTGAATATTCAAAAAGAAGGGCCAGCGCTGTATAGCCCTTGTGGCTTAGCGCTTCTTTTTGATTATAATAATAATAATCAAAACGAAGGGAATAATATAAATCTTGGTATTTTTTGGATGTGTACATTAATGAAAACTATCAAGAATCATTAGAAGCTGACCACTGATGTATGTCTCTTGAGCCAAGGAATTGGTTCTCTGTCCAAGGGAAAGGGTGTGCATTGATACTGGTAAAGAGACCTTGATCCAAGGATTTGGAGCTACCCCACCCTTCCCTCACATCAAACCTGATTACCTCATTGCACAGATGCTGGACAACCCCTAGGGTACAGTACTTCTTCGTGAGTATAATTGGAACTACTCTCCTCATTCTCAGATCAAACCTTATTATCTCCCACTCCCCAGGTGCTGTATGACCCCTACTGGTTTAGTGCCTCCCCCTGAATAAAATATGGTAAAATGCACGGAGATGGCACAACGTTAAGCAGAGAAAAGATTGCAACTTGGTAAGTGATGTGCAGAGATGGTAAGAGCAACTACAGTATTGTGAACTTCTTAAAATAAAAAACTTAATTAAAATTTTTATTTCTTTGTATAGTACATATACAATGTATAGTTTACCTATAATAATGTTAAACACAAAGACAGCAACTAGCATTCCTGAGCATTTCAGGCAGACTAATCCTAATGCTGACAGACTACGTACTTAGAACTAGACATGGGTTATGCCAGTCTATCTTTAATGTTAGAGGTGCTCAAAACTTTAAGGAGAAAGCAAATATGAATTAAAAGTTAAATGTATAACTAATATAATTAAAAAATAAATGTATTAAACTGACTTGGGCTGTATGATCTAGTAAATTCTTAATATAAGGCATCTCTCTACATTCTATTTTGGAAATAGAGAACAAAATTTGCTGCATCGGTCGATTCACAAACATCGGACAATGTTCTTTGTTTACAGAATTGTCAGGTATTGTTACTATCACTACAAAACGGTCTCTTCTCTATTCACTACAGTTGACATTACTGGCCACTCACTCCTCCTCATTAATAAGTCCTTTATATCGAAGGTTCACTTTATGTGGGTATAGTGCTTGTTTTTTAATATAATTACTGTAGTAATAAACTAAGCTGGATTTAAATATTTATATTAACCAAGATTATGATAGAACTATTATTTTTTTTTTTTTTTTTTCAACAAGTCGGCCGTCTCCCACCGAGGCAGGGTGACCCAAAAAAGAAAGAAAATCCCCAAAAAGAAAATACTTTCATCATCATTCAACACTTTCACCACACTCGCACATTATCACTGTTTTTGCAGAGGTGCTCAGAATACAACAGTCTAGAAGCATACACATATAAAGATACACAACATATCCCTCCAAACTGCCATATCCCAAACCCTCCTTTAAAGTGCAGGCATTGTACTTCCCATTTCCAGGACTCAAGTCCGACTATATGAAAATAACCGGTTTCCCTGAATCCCTTCACTAAATATTACCCTGCTCACACTCCAACAGATCGTCAGGTCCCAAGTACCATTCGTCTCCATTCACTCCTATCTAACACGCTCACGCACGCTTGCTGGAAGTCCAAGCCCCTTACCCACAAAACCTCCTTTACCCCCTCTCTCCAACCCTTTCGAGGACGATATTGAGGCTGATATTGACCAAGATTATGATAGAACTATAGATGTTGATTACCTATACACAGGTGGTAAACATTTATCAAACACTGTACTGTACATCAAGCCGTTACCTCAGTGCTGTCATCTCTCACCACCTCCATGCAACACTCAATGACCCTTATGGATTCAAGTTCCCCTCAAGGAAGAGGGGCTTTTAATCCAAGGAACTGAATTTATCTGACCCTTCCTTGAATCAAGCCTAAGTGCCTTCCATTTTCCAGCCACTAAATGACCCATGTGGGTTTAGGGCTTCCCTATTGATTAAAATAGCTATAATATTAGTACAGTTTTTATTTTATTATTATGTACCAATAAATAATAGTTTAAATAGCAATTTATATTTAACAAAATTTGTAGTTGTCATTATGTGTACATGAGAGCAGTGTTGTGTTCATCGGCTATTTCAGCATTACAGTGGACCCCCGACATTCGATATTAATCTGTTCCTGAGAGCTCATCGAATGTCGAAAATATCGAAAGTCGAATTAATTTTCCCCATAAGAAATAATGGAAATCAAATTAATCCGTGCAAAACACCCAAAAGTATGAAAGAAAAAATTTTACCACATGAAATATTAAGTTTAATGCAATAGAATAATTACAATAACAACAATAACAATAGATTAATAACAATAGAATTATTGACACTTACCTTTAATGAAGATCTGGTGATGATTGATGGGATGGGAGGAGGGGAGAGTGTGGATGGTGTTAGTGTTTAGAAGGGGAATCCCCTTCCATTAGGATTTGAGGTAGCAAGTCCTTTTCTGGGGTTACTTCCCTTATTCTTTTAATGCCACTAGGACCAGCTTGAGAGTCACTGGACCTCTGTCGCACAACAAATCTGTCCATAGAGCTCTGTACCTCCCATTCCTTTACGATTTGTCTAAAATGGGCCACAACATTGTCGTTGTAATAGTCACCAGCACAGCTTGCAATAGCTGTGTTAGGGTGATTTTCATCCATAAAGGTTTGCAGTTCAACCCACTTTGCACACATTTCCTTAATTTTTGAAGTAGGCACAATGGATTCCACAACTGGCATAGGCTTCTCAGGGTTAGCCCCAAATCCTTCAAAATCTTTCTTAATTTCCATACTAATTCTCACCCTTTTTACCACAGGGTTGGCACTAGAAGCTTTCTTGGGGCCAATGGTTACTTATTTTACAGAAACAAGCACCAAAAACAGTGATAATATGGATAATATGGAATGTACCGAATGTATCCTTAGATGCGCGCACACTGGCTGGCTTGTAAACACTGGCACACATGGGGCAGTTCAGGCCACACGTGGACACGTCTTGTACGAATCGTATCGAATATCGGGTTTTCCATCGAATGTCAGGTGAAATTTTTGCGTTAAAATGCATCGAATGTCCGATTTATTGAATGTCAATGCCATCAAATGTCGGGGGTCCACTGTACTTTTGTGTGTGAATGCATTTACTATGCTGTACATTAATTTCTTCCTGTTCAACTTAGATTATTCAGACATTGCAAGGAAAAATATATGCACTTAGTTCAATTTGTCTTTGGGATGTGCAGTTTTAGCTTTGATGTGTTGAGTGTTCATTTATCAGGAAGTGAAGTTTACGTTCGTCCCCTCGTTGATATAGGTATTTGTTTCTTTAATTTCTTATTATGTGCTAGCACTGTAGTCACCCATTTGTGGTTGTAGAGGTTTATTTTTTCAAGATCCTGGCCCTTGCCACTTTTCAGATTTTCTTCCTCCTAGTGTCGTGGGTACCGTCGTACCTCTTTTTAAAACTATGTATGGAGCCTGCTTCCACCACTTCCTCACCAAGATTATTTCACTTCCCTACCACTTTGAGACCGTAGAAATGCTTACTAACATCCCTGTCTCTCATCTGTGACAATTTCCAGTTGTCTTCCTGAGTTCCTGTTTCTCGCTTCTACCTTACCAGCTCCTCTGAGCATTGTGTATATCATCCCTGATTCTTCTGTCCTTCAATGACATTATGTCCAATTCTGGTGACCTCTCTTTATAGCTTGTGCCCTTTAACTCAGGAATGAGCCTTGTTGTATGCCTCTGCATTTTCTCCATTTTTTTAAAATGCTTTTTTGTCAGGTGCTAGTATGTACTGGTGCTGTCTACTCCAAGACTTACCTAAAGTATGGAATGACTCTTTGTTGAGTTTCCTGAAGGCGACTCCTAGATTTGCCAAGTGAGCATTGGCTGCAGAGGTTATTTGACTGATATGAGCCTCTGGTGTTATACTGGGCTCAATTTTTATCCCTAGGTCTTTCTCTTTAAGTGAAATCAGCTGCATCCATTTCCAATCTTCTTGCTCTTTCCCTAATCTTCAAGACCTTGCATTTACTAGGGTTGAATTCAAGCAACTACTTATCTGACCACTTGCAATTTATCAAGATCCCTTTGGAGTCTTTCCTTGTCCTCATTTGTTTTTATTCTCCTGATTAGTTTTACATCATGAGTAAACAGTGATATACAGTATGTGAATCAATCCCATCTGGAATATCATTCACATAAATCAGAAACAATACTGGTCCTAATACTGATCCTTGTGGAACCCTGCTAGTTACTCTTCCTCATTCTAACATATCTTTCCTGGCAGTCATTCTTTGGTTCCTTATCCTAAGATACTCTTTGACCCACTGGAGTATTCCTTGTTATTCCCATCTGAATCTCAAGTTTTTGGCCCAGCCTCTTGTGGGGTACAGTATCAGATGCCTTATTGCAACCTAAAAAATGCAATTCACCCAACTCTTTCTCATCGTACATCTGTTACTTTGTCACAGAACTCCAACAAGTTGGTAAGATAAGATTTGCCATCCCTAAACCCATGCTGTTTATTGTTTATATAATCACTTCTCTCCAGGTGTTCTACCAATCTCTCCCCTTTCCTGTCTTCTGGATCTGGTAACTGTCCTGTATCCATTGACCTATTGTAGATCATAGCTAGCTACCTCTTGCAGAACCCATGGTGACATTTTGTCAGGTCCCATTGCCTTTGATGTATCCAGGTCCACCAGAAGTTTCTTAACTCTTCTCTGTTGTGAGAGTGGTATCTAGTACATGTAGGTGCCTCCTGTTCTTTAATCTCTCTGGTATTGCCCTGGTTTCCATTGTGAATACCTCTTCAGATCATTTTATCAGCACTTCACAGAACTTTCTTCTTGTTCATGAGCTCTCCTCCTTCCTTCCTCAGTCAAATTACCTGATCCTTCACTGTTGTCTTTCTTATGTGGCTGTGAAGTAGTTTCAGATCATACTTGACCTTTGCTGTTGTGTCATTCTTGAAATGTCTCTCAGCCTTTGTCCTCACCCTAGCATGTTTGTTTCTGAGCAGTTTGCTCACTTCTCTGTTCTCATCTGATTTAATCTTTCTGTATTTATTTCTGTTCTTACACTCTTTTTTCCTCCCTGCATCTCTGGTTGAAGCATTTTCCAGCTATGTGCCCCATCATCTCATTTACCGACTTACCTTACAATTCACTGTCCCAGTCCACTACATTCAGGAAGTTTCCCAACCCTTAAAAATTGTTCCCTTCTAAAGTCTGGCTTTTTACACTCTCCACCTACTATATTTCCCTCTACCCTTAGTTCAGGACTGCATGATCACTAGCATCCAGAGGCCTCTCATATTCTATTTTATCTATGTCTGATGTGCTTGCAGTAAACACTAGGTTCAGTCTTGCTGGCTCATCTCTCTCTTGTCATATCCTTAATGTGTTGACTCAGAAAGTTTTCTCTGATCACCTCCATCAACTTCACCCTCAATATTTATAATCCCCCATATGGGTCCCAGTTCTCTCAATCTATTTCTCTGTGGTTGAACTCTCACATTATAAGTACCTTCACTATAGCACTAAATGTTCTTCTGGCTGCTTTTGCTGTGATGTTAAACATCACTTGGTTGTTTTGTTTATATTCCTGCCTTGCTATCCTATTATTAGGTGGTGGATTGTATATTATTGCAATTGCTACTTCGAGTCTCCCAGTGTTAACTGAGCACACTGTGAATTAGTTTTTCTCTAGTCTGTTTATTCCTCTTACCTTTTCAAAACTCCAGTTGTCCATGTATGTGAAATCTTAGTTTTCATAAAATGATTTTGTAGTAGCAAAATGTACCTTTGAAATGAACTACTAAT